TGCCTTGATCGCTAATCACTGCTGCATTTTTCTGCGCTTCTCCTGCGATATCTGACACGCGTATCCTCTTGCTTCTCTCGTCGCCATCGTCGCCAATACTGTCCTCGGCTCGGTCTTTGCGCTTTTCAGACGTGCAATGCTCGTTACTTTCGGCCGGAATCGATGAACCTGCCTCTATCGGCTCGAGGGTTGTTGTCATAAGAGAGTCGTCTGGATGGACATCTCTCTCCATTTCACTCGTAATTATCAAACCCTCGCGAAGTTCACTTATCTTCGAGTCATCCCGTGAGCCGATAAGCCGAGCCACACCTCGTACGTCGCGTGCTTGCATCAGAAGGCTTACTTCAGACAGCCTATCCACTGCTCTCCATGAAATTTTGACCACGTACGTTCCATCTAGAGCGCGGTAGCAAGCTGTGCCACGGGAGACGATCGCCCTCTGTGCGAAGAACGGCTCAGCTTCCAGAATCAGAGTGCGAGGCTCTTGGGTGTTAGCATCCGTGACAGTGATAATCGTCTGCCCTCTTTCATGTCGCACCGATGTATCGATCCCAAGCTCCTCGTCGCTCATCAACATATAGGCCGTTATGACATATACGAGCACCTCGGGATTTTTACCAATATCAATGAAGCCCGTGGAGTATGGGCCCGACCGATCAAATACCCACAGTTGCAATTTGGTGTCCAACAAAAGGAATCCATGCACAAACTTACGCAATGGCTGCGCCGTAAACACCTCCCGCATGTAAACAGCAAGTTGAAGAAACTTATCCATCCATGCACTAGTGGGAAGCTTGGTAATCTCTCCCAAGACTTGTATATCCCGCCAGCTGTGGGGAGTCCCGCGATGAAGGCTGCGACTCTTGATGAAAAAGTCAACTTGTCGGAAACAAGGGCCGCCCTTGATTTGAGATCCATTGGTTGTCCGGAACTTCTGTCCGCGCAGAGGAAAAGACTTTCTCTTCTTGCATGGGACTGGTTGGTTGGGTGCATTTTGTATATTGACTTCATCTGCTGCTTTCTCCTCCGGAGGATCCCGATACGGCTCGATAAATTTTGTCTGGACCGTTTTGATCCACTGCCATACATTCGCCTCCGTACGATCGTCCGGAAATTTGAATGATTCTTGATCTTTCCTATTAGCATAGCTCTCGGAGATCTTCTGGCATTTGCTCGCCCAAAGCGGTTTCTCAAAGAATTTTTCATAAAACCCCGTGACATCTTCAAAGACAGTTCCCGTCACCTCCTTTCTCAAAGCATCTTTAAGAATGTCCATAGTTTCATCAGCACCTTTTAGTTGCGCCGTTGTGTATATGTGTTGCGCGTCGGGATGATGGGATGAAGATGCGTCGAGCTGTAAGGGTGTGATAGGCTCAAGGTTGTCAACGAGATCAGTCAAATGACTCCATATTTCGACATCGGCAGAATTAAAAAGTATCGAGGTTACAAGAGGTTGGAAATAAGAAATTTGGATTGCCTTTGAATTCATTCGCTTGTAGATTGAAAAGATCCGGCCGGACATGTTGTTATCTGCGGTGGTGGGAACTGAACAATCTTGTGCATAACTCTGAAATGAACTTAATAAATTAATCAGAAGATCAGAAATGGGCGTGAGATCAATGACTTCGTCATGACTTTCTTTGTCGATCTTTAATTTTTCAAAATCAGGATGTCGACGGATAAATGAGGTAATGTTTTGAAGAGGATATCGAATGAAATGTTGGACATCTTCATCTGAGATTGTCATCTTGACGAGTAGGATGCTGTTGGCAATCGTTGAAAGAGATTGATGGCGATGTGAATAGGATATGAATGAGATGTCAAGGACGTTGGATAATGGATGATGGTTAGAGGAGCTAGACGGAGTTGTGGTGACTTTATATTAATTTACAACATCAAGAGGAGAATCGAAATTGGAATTCGACAGTTATGTGGACAGCGACTGCGCATTCTTCAACGCCTTTCAAATCTATCAAGTAAAAATGAAGATCATTATTATGGGTAATGCAGATCATCTTGCGAGCGCGGCACTTGGATGGCATGGCTATTCACGTAATCCCTGCCCGCGTTTATAGTCATTTGTACCCGATGGATAACCCTTACGATTAACAGGAGTAGATACTCCGACATAAAATCATGAAGGTTTTCACTTAATATGGTTTGATACATCGTCATCCAATTGTTCTTCATGATGGAGCCGCCCCAACTGACATCTCGTCGCCCCATACTAATGCGACGTCCTTGTTGCGGAGTGGTGGCCAGTAAGGGCAACTATCTGGCACTTGGCATGCTCGCTGATAGCGCTTAAAGTGAAGCATAATTTTTATTTTTACGGCTATGACAACAAACACGATATGTTCTAGCTTTAAATTGTTCTACAAGGTTGACGACTGAGCACCATTGGATACGACTCTCCTCAAATTGTTGCTGGCATTTCACCGATACGAATCGAATATCTCATTACCACTTGGCGAAGGTAAAGGTGATTGAAGCTGCATGATAACATTGTGATCAAGTTTTCCGGAAATAATTCAGCCCACGCCATTGGTTGCCGGGTACGGAATTTGTGTTTCTATGTTAGTTCCGATTCTCGGTCATGTTGAGATCAAGTTACTTCGCTACCCCATGAGATTCTAAAATCATGTTACGATGAAATTTTGTGTAGGAAAGAAACAGGCTAATCCCCAGCGATATCCGCCCTGCGTCTACTTTGTGGCCACGGTTTCAAGTTTGTAGTGGATTCAGATAGGGCGTATAATCGGTTCAGGGAGTAGATACCAGTTAGCGCTGAATTCGACAGGGTACATAAATTCGGGGGGTTTTTTTTTGCATCAGATTTTAATTGCGTATGCAGCTATCTAGCTATGACACTATATCAGAGAAAAGTACAGAAAAGATGACTCAATTTACAAGAGGAGCACTCATGCCTCGGATTTCATTTGCAAGTACCACTGCGAAATTATGGCGGCTTTTTCATCACCCCAAGTCAACCCTCATCCGTGAATACCCACCCAGGGGAACATCTCAAAAACCCTGAGTTATCCAGACATGCCTCCGTCATCCATCAACTTTTCTCCGCGCGATATGTGATCTGAGGTGTCTCCTTCCCAAGTGGAGTAGATGTCCAGGCTACTCAAACTATAACAGAGAGCACCACCAGGAGGCGGACCACAACACTTTCCATCGTTTGCTTGTTTTGATAGTGTTAGCTGCACTCTCGCAAGCGAAGTCTTGGCGCGCACAAAGCTCAATTCATAAATTTCCATTCCAAAATTTGAAATTTCACGCCCGTCGTAAACATATCCCTCTTCTGCATTATCTTGTGAACTTGTCCTGATCCCTCTCTCGTCTATCCCAAAGAGCTATCCCCCAGATTTGTGCGTCACGCTTTGCTTCCTCCGTCGGGTATAAATATCAGCGTGGGCGTGTATTTGGTGGTTAACTGAGGCCAGAGAAGGTCGGATAGAGGTATGGTCATTGGGATGAGGATGTACTGGGTCGTACTTGTAGACTTGATGAGACTTAAGTAGGCGTCAAACTCGTTGGGAGCGGGAAAACGACGTGGTGGAGTAATTTGGATTTTTGCCTCGTGGGCCAACTTCCTTGATAATTCGAAATTTGACTGAATTTCGCTCTGGGAGAATATTTAACTCCCAGGTTCGTAGAGGACACCGCCAACAAGTGTTCAGTCTTGCCCTCCTGGCCACAGGATAGACGCAAGGTAGATATCGTTGGCTAATAATATGTTTCTTACCTCCACAAAATGTGATCGAAATATAACTTTAGAAACTTCTGGGGTGAGGATGTAGCTTGGTGTAAACGAGACCGAGAATTGGAACTAACCTAGCAACACAAACTCCGTATCCGGCATGGAGACTATTCTCAACACCTGTTAGTGGTGTCCCCTACGAACCTCCAGCTCTCACTGTAGAGTCTGCAGAGCCGAGATTGAGTAACACCTTATCAACTTTGAGCTGAGTTATCTCCCCCTCCGTCAAAGATACGCTTCCAATAACACATAAGACGACAAAGACGACGATAATGATGCTGGGAATGAGGAGAGATAATGCGGTACCAAACGCTACAACGGTAGTCAGAGAAGCCCTCGTTATATCACAACATGTGCTACCCACCGGCAGGCGAACAAAAAGCCCACGAAAGCAAAGTAAAAGACCCTTCCGCCCTCAAGAAAAGCAGATTTTGACACGTCTACATTGTCGTCCCTACTAATCATAAATTACGAAACTACTAGCCAGGAGGGCATCTGAAATACATGAGTTACTCGACAACCCCACGTCTTTTCTGACATCCTTTCACGACCTACGATTTGTCCTGCGGCATGAATCAGGTAGGAGTAAGGAGGAGGCTAGGAAGGTTGAGAGACGCTCTTAGGTATACACAGGTCTGCTGCGCCCGGCTGGCGGGCCTCTTCGTGATAGGAGAGCCCTGCACCCAGTGGTTTTTGAGACTTATCACTGCAGCTACACACCCGCAAATGGCCATCATTTAGTTGGCTGGAGAGGGTAGATAATGACGGGATAACGGATCCTCTTAGTGTGTACTCGAATGATGACCTGTGTGTAACGGGCTGCGCCCGGCTGGGCTCTGGATGGGCTGTTTAAGGCTATAGGGCTTATCCTTATCTTGAAGGCTCAAACGAGTTTGTAAATTTTCTCACTATACAGGAGTATTATCAGATCACATGTAAAGGGCAAGGGTATCTGGAACAGGCATTGTAGTTATAAGGAGCCATAGCGTCCCGCTCGTAATTTATTTATAGAAAATATAAACATTTAATTGTGGCATTGTTTTCGTGCATTGACCGAAAGTGCTAGCCCCTCACGCTGTGGGGGTATTACTGCTGGAAAGAAGTTGTGAAGGAGGCATAGATACTCCCAGCCTGTAGGCGGAAAGGACCTACATGTCCTTACATAGTTATAGACTTTTTAGGACAATAAACACTCACTCTCCGTACCCGGAAACCAGTGGCGTTGGACTCTTCACGCAATCATGTAGATAGAGAATTGCTTTGCAAACCTAATTAGGAAGTAGCAAGGGCGAAGCCACCAGGGCAGTAAGCACTGGCGTCTATACCTCTAGGTAGTTTAGTGAGTAGTAGGGACCTAAATCAATCTTGAAGCCCCAACGGACTAAAAATAGAAAACAAACAAACAAACCAATTACGTTGCCTGAAGTATTTCAAAAAAAACTTCATGATAATGTTATCATGCAGCTTCGATCACCTGTACCTTCGCCGAGTGGCGAGAAGATACTCGATTAGTATTAGAAGAGAGCTAGTAACTAGTTCAGAAGACCCGTAACCAATGGTACTTGGTCGTCAACCTTGTAGGTCATTTTTAAGCTAGGACATATCGTATTTGTTTTCATAGCCTTTAAAATAAAAATTATGCCTCAATTTACCCGCTATAAGTCAGCATGACAGATGCTGGATAATTGCTATTACTGGCCACCACTCCGCAACAATGACATCCCATTAGTATGGCACAACGAGCAGGTCAATTCAGGCGCTTCCGTTGTGTGAACCGATTGGCAAACGATAAATCAAATCATGGTTCGTTACAATATTCATGATTTTATGTCGGAGTATCTACTCCTGTTAATCGTAAGGGTTATCCATCGGGTACAAATGATTATAAACGCGGGCAGGGATTACGTGAATAGCCATGCCATCCAAGTGCCGCGCTCGCAAGATGATCTGCATTACCCATAATAATGATCTTCATTTTTACTTGATAGATTTGAAAGGCGTTGAAGAATGCGCAGTCGCTGTCCACATAACTGTCGAATTCCAATTTCGATTCTCCTCTTGATGTTGTAAATTAATATAAAGTCACCACAACTCCGTCTAGCTCCTCTAACCATCATCCATTATCCAACGTCCTTGACATCTCATTCATATCCTATTCACATCGCCATCAATCTCTTTCAACGATTGCCAACAGCATCCTACTCGTCAAGATGACAATCTCAGATGAAGATGTCCAACATTTCATTCGATATCCTCTTCAAAACATTACCTCATTTATCCGTCGACATCCTGATTTTGAAAAATTAAAGATCGACAAAGAAAGTCATGACGAAGTCATTGATCTCACGCCCATTTCTGATCTTCTGATTAATTTATTAAGTTCATTTCAGAGTTATGCACAAGATTGTTCAGTTCCCACCACCGCAGATAACAACATGTCCGGCCGGATCTTTTCAATCTACAAGCGAATGAATTCAAAGGCAATCCAAATTTCTTATTTCCAACCTCTTGTAACCTCGATACTTTTTAATTCTGCCGATGTCGAAATATGGAGTCATTTGACTGATCTCGTTGACAACCTTGAGCCTATCACACCCTTACAGCTCGACGCATCTTCATCCCATCATCCCGACGCGCAACACATATACACAACGGCGCAACTAAAAGGTGCTGATGAAACTATGGACATTCTTAAAGATGCTTTGAGAAAGGAGGTGACGGGAACTGTCTTTGAAGATGTCACGGGGTTTTATGAAAAATTCTTTGAGAAACCGCTTTGGGCGAGCAAATGCCAGAAGATCTCCGAGAGCTATGCTAATAGGAAAGATCAAGAATCATTCAAATTTCCGGACGATCGTACGGAGGCGAATGTATGGCAGTGGATCAAAACGGTCCAGACAAAATTTATCGAGCCGTATCGGGATCCTCCGGAGGAGAAAGCAGCAGATGAAGTCAATATACAAAATGCACCCAACCAACCAGTCCCATGCAAGAAGAGAAAGTCTTTTCCTCTGCGCGGACAGAAGTTCCGGACAACCAATGGATCTCAAATCAAGGGCGGCCCTTGTTTCCGACAAGTTGACTTTTTCATCAAGAGTCGCAGCCTTCATCGCGGGACTCCCCACAGCTGGCGGGATATACAAGTCTTGGGAGAGATTACCAAGCTTCCCACTAGTGCATGGATGGATAAGTTTCTTCAACTTGCTGTTTACATGCGGGAGGTGTTTACGGCGCAGCCATTGCGTAAGTTTGTGCATGGATTCCTTTTGTTGGACACCAAATTGCAACTGTGGGTATTTGATCGGTCGGGCCCATACTCCACGGGCTTCATTGATATTGGTAAAAATCCCGAGGTGCTCGTATATGTCATAACGGCCTATATGTTGATGAGCGACGAGGAGCTTGGGATCGATACATCGGTGCGACATGAAAGAGGGCAGACGATTATCACTGTCACGGATGCTAACACCCAAGAGCCTCGCACTCTGATTCTGGAAGCTGAGCCGTTCTTCGCACAGAGGGCGATCGTCTCCCGTGGCACAGCTTGCTACCGCGCTCTAGATGGAACGTACGTGGTCAAAATTTCATGGAGAGCAGTGGATAGGCTGTCTGAAGTAAGCCTTCTGATGCAAGCACGCGACGTACGAGGTGTGGCTCGGCTTATCGGCTCACGGGATGACTCGAAGATAAGTGAACTTCGCGAGGGTTTGATAATTACGAGTGAAATGGAGAGAGATGTCCATCCAGACGACTCTCTTATGACAACAACCCTCGAGCCGATAGAGGCAGGTTCATCGATTCCGGCCGAAAGTAACGAGCATTGCACGTCTGAAAAGCGCAAAGACCGAGCCGAGGACAGTATTGGCGACGATGGCGACGAGAGAAGCAAGAGGATACGCGTGTCAGATATCGCAGGAGAAGCGCAGAAAAATGCAGCAGTGATTAGCGATCAAGGCAACGGAAATCCGACAGGCTCAGGAGAGGTAGCACCTGTGAAAATAGTGCGCCGCTCGACGAGAATCAGCTCTGGAGAGCCAGTCAAATACTTTGTCCAAACTCGAAAAAGCGGCCGATCCTGCAAGTCTGAGTCCAGCAAGTCGGGATCTAAAAGACGACGAAACCTGGATCTTCCGCAAGAGAAACATTCTGCCGTGCCTGATCGTGAGTTGAAAAGGCTTCGCATTTCGAGTACTGCCAGGGAAACGGTGTCTGGAGATGGAACAGCGCCAATCTCTACTCAGGTGGGCCCACTAACTTCTGCTCCTGGGGACCGAACAGGCGATGGTGCTGAAGCGACTCCTACTGTCGTGAACGATGGAGGTGTAGACAATCCCGGAACGCCAGAGCTGTCGATTGCCTATCGAGATCGTCAAAAGACATTCATTGCCACTGAGCCTCGTGGTCGATTGATTGGCGAGGAAACAACAGCCCTTGACTTGTTGCAGGGTATCCGCGATGCGATCTTGGCCCATCAGTCACTTTTCAAGGAGGTTAGGATATTGCATCGGGACGTGTCTATTAATAACATTATACTGACCGATCCGGCTGTTAACAATGGTCGGTATGGGTTATTGATAGATCTTGACCTGGCAATATCTTTGAACGATGTGAATAGTGAACAAAATAGGCAGACGATGACTGGTACTATGGAATATATCGCCCTCGGAATATTGCAAGCGAATATTTACGAGACCGGCAAGGGGTATAAGCATACGTATCGACACGACCTAGAGTCTTTCTTCTACGTTCTCGTGTCAGCGTGCATCCGATTTGGCTGGGGGAACAAAAAGTCGGGCCACACTGACGTTTTGTCCAAGTGGTACACAGGGACAGTCCAAAATATGTATTTGAATAAAAAAGAAGCGGTTTCTCACAAATATTTCAAAAAATGTCTCCTGGACCATTTCTCGACGAGGTACGACTGTGTCAAAGCACTAGTGACAAGATTGCGGATAATACTATTTGATAGATCAACGGGCGTCGATACAAGTACGAATCCCTTCGCAGATGAGGTTTATGACCTCATTCTTAAAGCGTTTGACGATGAAATCAAGGGGATCAAATGTGAGTATTAATACCTAGTTTGTTATCAGACTGTTCATTAAGAATTACTCTTTACTAACTGAAATAAAATGACTAGTAGTCGAACAGCTTGCCAGATCTAGTAAGCGCAGGAGATGAAGCCGTTTCGGATCTGAAAGAAAGAATGCCGCTAACACCAAGAGTAGATACGGAAACACTGAGTGCAGAGGGCTAAAAGTTGAGAATGGGACATCGTCAACACGCGGTACTTTTATGAGCCGGCAAGTGGTCAAATGAATGTACTTCTTTTGACTATTGGACTGATAATGGCTCGTAGATAATAGATCGACTCGAGTTTTCAATCTTCCTCAACAACAAATGTTGGTTGCTATATGGGATCAAAGTTTGTAGATTGGGCAAATAGACGTATACATACACAAATAAAAAAATATGATTTTAAATGATGTAAAACTTGATGAACTTGGATTGTGTCTATTATTGAGAAAAATATGAAACAAAAAGCTCGTTGACTTCGGATTATTACTTCATGTCGAATGACGCGCTTATGCTTGATATCAGAAATGAGTAACATCAAAAAAACTAAGAAGCATCAGTCACCAAGTCACGGAATACATCAGATTTTAATTTAACACAGGTAAAGACCACGATCTCTAGAATGTCTCGTTGAAATGAATGGAATAATTAATGTATCAGGCCAAATCCCTACACCCAGGAGGCTTGATACGGGTGCGTGTTCCCGGGGGGACCCACAAACACCATTTATGCCGGCTTTATGTGGTCAGAAATTTACAGGATCTAATAAAGACAAAAATTTCGTTAAAAACTCTTGCTATCTTGACTTAACGCCCTGCACCTAGCCAGCTATTTCATAGCAGTTTCCTGTACTATTTGTATCCCAGAAAAACTCGGTCATTAAAGTCCTACTTTTTACCCCGTAGTATCCTGTTACGGTAAGGAATCTGTAAAAAGCTATCCATCCCTTTTCTCCCATCATTGTCAATATTCTTGGTGCTGTTTCCGTTGTTGTTTTCCGCAATTCATTTAGCGCTTTCCGGCATTCAGAGAAATGCCACGGGCGTCTTTCTCGGCCACATTTGCACATAAGGTCTATTCCTTCGTGGTGAAACCTCTTGTGATACTTGGCAAAATTGCCATGACCAGTCCTAGCCGCTATCAGACGATGATACGCCCATCTTGGAAGAGCGAGCTCTGGTGGTCGTTTTCGCTTCATCAACAAATCCAGGTCTTTGTATCGACTGGGTCTGTTCGCTCTCCACCAAGAATCGACGGTCTCCTCAGCACGGTCTCTAAGATATCGATTTAGAGCTGCGAAAGTGTATACTTATCCTTGATTTGTTCTTGAAGTGAAAGTTGCATTCGAGACCAATGGAAAATCTTTCAAA